CCGACTACCTGCTTAGAACAAAGAGACCCCCTGCTTCTCCTGGTAAAGGCTCCCCCTCGCTGTGCTTTGATGGAGCCGCCTGCATCAGATTAGGACTGAACCCCCCACAGGACTTCCTCATGAAAGGACTTTAAAAGGTCTGCAGCGCCGGCACGCTGGCACCTGACCTTCTCTGACTTTGAGGATGGTTTTTGAGGATGGCTGGAGGCGGCATTTCGTTCCTGAAATGCCGCCTCCAGCCCTGCTCCGTATGCAGAGACACCAAGACTGTGGCTTTAGAGTTTTTAATGTTTCTCTACATCTGCAGAGCCGTGAAGAACCGCAAAAGGTCAAGTTTTTACAAACCGACATCGGTCCTTTGAAAGGAGGTCAGCCAGCCTGATGTGTAGATAAACTTTAATGTGATTTAAGTTTAGTAAAAGTTAGAGAACTTGTTTAAATAGCGTGAAACCAGAACAGAGCAAAGATCTGAGAGCTTCATTGTTGATGATCTGATCCAAACAAAACCAGAGTGGAACATTAAAACGCGGCTCTGTTGGGATACTAGGATGGGTCTGCAGGTGATAGGAACAGTTAGAGCAGCTGATTGCTTCAGAGGGATATGGAAATCAGCTGTTGGAACAATGATACAGTGTTGTTCCTGATCCAGTCCTAATCTGATCCTGTTCCAGTACTGATCCAATCCTGATCCAGTCTTGACCCAGTCTTGCTCCAGTCCTGATTCAGTCAGGTGCTGATCCTGTTTTGATCCAATCCTGGTCCAGTCCAGCTCCCGTCCTGAACCTGTTCAGTCCTGATCCAGTTCTGATCCTGTCCTGATCCTTTTCAGTCCTGATCCTGTCCTGATCCTGTTCAGTCCTGATCCTGTCCTGATTCTGTTCAGTCCTGATCCAGTTCTGATCCTGTCCTGATCCTGTTCAGTCCTGATCCTGTCCTGATCCTGTTCAGTCCTGATCCTGTCCTGATCCTGTTCAGTCCTGATCCAGTCCTGATCCAGTCCTGATCCTGTTCAGTCCTGATCCTGTCCTGATCCTTTTCAGTCCTGATCCAGTCCTCATCCGATCCTGGTCTAGTCCTGATCCGGTCCTGCTCCAGTCCTGTTGCAGTCCAGCTCCAGTCCCATTTCAGTCCTGATCCTATTCTGTCCTGCTCCAGTCCTGATCCTGTTTAGTCCTGATCCAGTCCTGATCCTGCTCAGTCCTGATCCAGTCCCAATCCTGATCAGTGACATTGGGTCACACATTGCAATGTTATCGTCCTGCTTCTGATTCCCAGACAGGATGCTCCAGGAGGAAACCTCTGGCTTCTTTAATATCAACATCAGCTGTGCTGCTGCCATCAACGCCTTTGTTTATAGATGTTGGAGATTGGCCTGTTTTCCAGTGTAGTCCTGTTTCTCTGACTGTGACTAACTGGATGTGCTCTCTTCATCCTCTGACATGGGAGCTGGCTCGGAGCTCGTCTGCCTGGCTGTGTGTTTCCTGGACGGGGCCGCCCTTTACAACTGCTTTTTGTATCTCTGCTTCTGTCTCCTTGAACCCCAGTCGGCCTCGGCAGATGGCCGCTCACACTGAGCCTGGTTCTGCTGGAGGTTTCTTCCTGTTAAAAGGGAGTTTTTCCTCTCCACTGTCGCTACAAGCATGCTTAGTGTGAGGGATTGCCTTCGAGTCGATGCAATTAACTGGTTTTCCTTAGATAGAAAACTTTTATCAATCTGACTGGATGATCTGGTTGAACTGTAAAGTGCCTGAGATGACGTGTTGTGATTAGCACTATAGAAATAAACTGAATTAAATTGAATTTAATCTGTCTGCTCCAACAGTCACTCGTTATTTTTGGGAAGATGTTTAATGTTCTGAGAATGAAACTAGACTTCAAACTATTGAGAAGTCTCCTGTTCTGAAACCTGTAGATCAGGGGTAACCAATTAAAAATCAGCAGGGTCCGAATAAAGAAAATCAACCAGTAAAGGTCTGCAGAGATTTTTAATTATTATCTGTTACTTTAAACAGCATTAAGAACTGAAATAAAACACAGAGAGATGGAGGGCAGAGAGATTAGTAGGTTGAGAACAAAACTTGGAAACAGCTGATAGTCAAACAGCAACCTGAGGCGATGCATGTAGAAAAAAATGGGTGGAGCAAAGATCTGCTGGAGTCTTTGAATGCCAGTCGGCCTCCGCAGACAGATGGTCGCTTATATCTGGTTCTGCTGGAGGTTTCTTCCTGTTCAAAGGGAGTTTTTCCTCTCCACTGTCGCTACAAGCATGCTTAGTGTGAGGGATTGCTGAAGAGTCAATGAGTCGATGCAATCAGCTGGTTTTCCTTAGAAAATGTTTAATAAATTTGACTGGATGCCTCTGTAAAGTACATTGAGATGACGTGTTGTGGATTGGAGCAATATACACTGAAAAAAATGATCTAGAAATAAGTGAAAATTATATTAACCCTTAATTTGAGTAGGTAAATGAAATAGTTTGCCAATGGAATTAGTTTTTTACTCTTAAAATAAGAATTAGATAATATGCACTTGAAATAAGACAATCCAAATAGTGTTTTCTTATTTTAAATGTAAATTGTTTTGTTCCGTTGGAAGAATTTCTCTTTGCCTCCTCAATCCAAGAACAAATGCTTTTATTTTAAGAAAATGTCTAGATTTAGATTTTTTCCAGTGTATATAAACTGAAATTGTGATGTACGGGAATCGGACCCAAGATACAACCAAGACAGGTCAGTGACTTTAAAGGCTTTATTTGAGAAATGATCGGGGGAAGCATAACGGGAGCCCCTGACTCGGGAGGTCCAGAGCATGAAGAGCCGGTTAGAGGCAGTTACCTGAGTAATGAACTGAAGTCCGGTTGCAGACAGGGTTTGCTGGGGGAACGGGCCCGTAGGCAGCTGGCAGGTTGACAGAAGTTTCCAGTGGGGCTTTCCAGAGACGTGAGGCTCAGTGTGGCAGATCCAGCAGCAGTACAGACAGGGAGACCCAGGAGGGGAGGTCCAGTTCCAATCCAGGTCCGTAAACAGAGTCCAGAATCCAGAGACAGATCCAATCAGGGTTCCAGGCAGAGGCAGAACAGGGACAGGCAGGCGCGGTAACAGAAAGCAGATCAGGTCGGGCAACAGACAGGTTTGCAAAAAGGTCACCGGTAGGTTCAAGACGATCTGGCACAGGTAGCTGATCTGAATGGGGCTTAAAAGCAGGTGGGAACAGGTGAAACCAGTTAAGGGCTGATTGCAGGTGAGGTGAAGCTGAGCAGGAGTGCAGAGTGGACAAATAGGCCAGCCCCAGCGCCACAATATTACAGAAATGAATTGAAAACTGAAGTGTGTCTTCATGTGAGGACTTCATGGATGCTAGAAAACCTGATGTGTTCAACAGTTTCACTTTAAGCATCTTTGCAAACACATCTGAACTGAGATCAAAGGAACATTAAACCCAGAGGAGCAGGAATAAAGAAAAAGGTGAACATTTTTTTAGACCTCTGCTCCCTTAGACCAACCAATCATCATGCACAGCGGCCGCCATCTTTCTTTTATGAATTCAGCTTCTCATGTCAGTCTTTGAAACGCTTCTACTTCCTGTTTCACTCTCGTTTTTGGTTGTTTTTGCTAATGATTGGGCGTGGTAAGGTGCCATGTGATGAACCCGTTTAGAAAGAAGTTCAAACTGTATTTAAATGGCAACTTTCAGGTTGAAATTCACAGAATGCTTCAGCAAACAAAATCAAAAGCAGCTTTAATAAGATGATATGTTTGGTTGTGCTTTAAGGTTGGATATTGGAGCGGGAGGAAAGTCCTCATCAGGATCAGGGTGGATGGTTCTTAGAACCTTAGGTTCTCTCAGGATGGGTGGAATTTCACTAAATATTTTGCTCCACTTTGCAGTTTTTTTCTGCAGAATTCAGCTTCAGCTGTTATTTGTCAGATTCTGGCTTGCAGCGTGCCCACCTGTCACACTTAAAAGAGGAAAATGTTCAGACAGGAAGTGTGGTTGGTGTTTCGTACCGTGAACTCCGGAAGTTTTACTCCTCCCACCGAGTCGAGCTTACATGCTAGGCTGCAGTGCACCGCGTGTTGCAGCGCTGTGTGGGTGTGTTTAGAGCAGAGATCCGTATCACAGCATGATGAAAACATGATGCTTTAGAAAAAGTTTTACTTTTATTTATGCTTCATTAAGGAATAGATCAGGTAATGGTAAAAAACAAACAAAAAACTTTTGATTATGGGTAATTTAAGCTGCATTAAACTTGAAAAACAATCTAGAAATACATAAAAAAAGTGTATTTACCCTTAATTTGAGTAGGTAAATGCAATAGTTTGCCAATAGAATGAGCATTTTTACTCTTAAAAATAAGATAATTAGATAATATGCGCTTGAAATAAGACAATGCAATTGTGTTTTCTTATTTTAAGTGTAAATTGTCTTGTTCTATTAGCAAGATATCTCTTTTACTCCTCAATCTAAGAACAAATGCACTTATTATAAGAAAAAATGACTTATCTAGATTTGTATTTTTTCCAGTCTACTCCCCTGTGACTGTGTCCTTTTAATAGATGACCTTTTTAATGACCTAAGTGTAGATAAAGCAGGAATATTCCAGCTTTTTTCACCCTTGGAAGGTGTTATTTCTGCTCTACCAGACCCACATTAAGCTGCGCTTCTCTGTCCTAAACTGATGAAATCACCTCAGCCTTCAGAGATGATGGAGAGTATAATGGAGAGCGTTTCAGATCCGATCCCGGTTCCTATAATCTGATGGGATTATAAGCTGCTAAAGGCACAGCTGCCATTGAGCCACCAGCGTTATGGATAGAGTAGAAATGAAACGTTGCCCCTCATTACTTCTGGACAGCGTCCATCTTTGTTCTGACCCAGTTCTGGAGTGAATTCTGTCGACTGGTGCTGGTTTGGGACTCACAGCCATGCAGTCTGTGTTTAGGGTTACAGTCCTATTAATAGGCAGCTCCGTGCCGCCAGCACTCACTCATATAGATCAGAGCAAACGGGTTGGGTTAGCTCCTCGGCCGGACCGTCCCGGGGACTGCAGCCTGCTGCAGGGCAGGAACTGCTTGACAGGTGCTGCTGTTTATAAGATTCAGCTGCCTTAACTGGTCGGGGTGTGAATAACGAAGAAAGAAGCGTTTCCTGTCGGCGGCTCAGAACGTTGGCTTTGGGGTTTTCTGCCCTCCTCCTCAAAGCTGACAGAATTAGTGTTTTTGCAGACAGATTCTGCGGTTTTTTTTTTTTTGTGTCATAGATGATGAAATGTGCCTGTCTTCCTCTCACAGGTTGTTTGATACTCGGAGGACGGAAAAAAAATCAAAAAGCACACTTCCTCTCAGCATCCTCCCCCTCCCTGCCAGCCTGTGGATGAGAAAGGCGCCGCGGCAGAGAGAAAGAGCCGCCTGGATCCTGGAGGTTCTCTGGACATCGGTGGCTCACCTGCGAACATGTCGCCGTTCCTGCGGATCGGCTTCTCCAGCTTTGAGATCGATCCTGGTTTGGCCTACTATGAGGAGGTGCTGAACCCGTACTGCGCCGTGTACATGAAGGAGGCCATAGACACAGGTCAGCCAACCGGGTCGCATCAGAGGCTCTGCTCTTTGATTCCAGCTGCTGGGGGTTAAAACAACAAATCAATCATGTTAACCTGAAGCTCTGGGACTTCCTGTTGTTTTTACAATTTAAGCCTACTTCGTGTTGTCAGGCAGGAATCCAGTATGAGTGAAATCGGACGATGGATGTTTGATGTTGTTGAGTTTTTAGGTGAGAAGAAAGTTCTGATCCACACTGCAAAAACAATCTGAAATCAAGTAAAAAAATTCTTAAATCAAGTGTATTTACCCTTAATTTGAGCAGGTAAATAAGATAGTTTGCCAATGGGATGAGTATTTTTACACTTAAAATAAGATAATTAGATAAAATGCACTTGAAATAAGACAATGCAATTGTTTTTTTCTTATTTCAAATGTAAATTGTCTTGTTCCATTGGCAAAGTGTCTCCTTTATCTACTGAAATCAGGATAAAATGCACTTATTTTAAGAAAAAATTACTTATTTAGATTTACATTTTTTGCAGTGCAGTTGCCTCTTTAATACCAAGATCAGAAGCAGCTCTAATCTGGTTCTGCTTCATCCTGTATGAATGAATGAATGAATGAGATCAAATGCAGAAGTTGGGTCTAATTATTAGAGGGAGAATCATGGAATGACGGAACTGTCGTCTGTTCTGGTGTCCAACTAATCTGATTTAAGGCCAGTTTATACTTCTGAAGCATAGCCTCCATCAAATATCTCTGTGCCTCCCGCGCAGAGGCTCTGCAACCGTCGTTGTGCACCTCAAAAAAAATCCTGACTACGCGTCTGATGGTCGCAAACCGGCGCAGACCTTAATCGCCGGATCGAAACTCCCCAGTTGGATCCCAGGTCTGATTCAAGGGGTGTACCAACCACCTACGCGTCCTCCTTTGTCTTTATGCCAGCCTTATTAACAGAACCTGTTCCTCTTCGATGTCTAGCAACTCAGGCCAGTCTAAGATCTGCATTGAGTACACAGTTTGTTCTCCTGTTCCTCTCAAGTTCTGAACTAGTCCAATTTGGGCTTAGGAATGAGATTTTGTTATTACCAAGCTGCTGAGGGAAATAAACCCCTGAGGTCTAGGACAGGTTGACCGAATGATTCTACTGGGTTTGATCAAACCTGTTGATAACTCTCCTGGACCCAGTGGTCCATATTTGGCCATTTTCCTCTTTCTCTGCTGTGACTTTTACACCTTTATTTAGTCTCAGCTTCTCCTATGACTCACACTGATGCTGTCATGATGGCAGTTTTTAGCACACCTTAATGTGCTGACTGCGGCTCTGTTGATGTCAGCTTTAAACGTGCAACAGGAAGAGCTCCTGGTGCGACCATGAGACTGAATTTTCTTGGTTTTGTAAGATCCTTACTCAGGGTTTTACCTGACATCATCCTGGCTGCCCCCATCTTAAACCTCCGGTAAGTCAGAGTGAAGGAAAAAGCTAAAAACAGAGACATTAGGTGTCATGATTTAGGAGCTGATGGCTGGCTTGATTGCTAATTTCATTCACCTGTCAAGCTCTGCCCTGCTCCTCATCACTGCTCATCTTATCCACCTGCTCTTACTTCTATTTAAACTGCCTGTTCCCATCGATGCCAGAATCTCTGGTGTTTCTATTGTGTCTGATTGCCTGCTTCTGATCTGTTTCTGTATTTAGACCTAGACTTTATTGTCATTTTGTACACAGAGTGTTTACAAAACAAAATTTCATTAAGTACAGCTCTCAAGACATTTCCATTTCTAGTGCAGCAGTGATAAAATGTAAACATGGTGGTCAAATTTGGACCTTTGAGCGTGCCTGCACCTGTCTGATCTGTTTGCCCCATCATTGGACTCCTGTTGAATTCTTCTATGGACTGACTGGATCTGCCTCTTGACCTCTCCCTTTGGATTATCCTGCCTTCCTTCATCAGCTCGGATCTGATTTCCAGTCAGCCTTGCAGCCTTCTAGGCTTTTGCGTCTGGAACTCTGTGACGTTCCTGCCTCAGACGCTGCAGCCACCAGGCAGACCAGTTCCGCTTGTATCAATAAACACTTTAAGTTATTCCACTGTATGTCTTGCCTGAATTCTGGGTCCTCTGTTCTGATTAACAACATGCAGCTTGGAGGGAAGCAGAAAAAGGACTCAGATAAAACCAGAATAAATCCATAACTGATTAAACTGAAGCAAACGCCCGCAGGTGTCCTGATGCTTCAATCATGCTGTGTCTTTAAGTCATCCTAGTTTAATTCTTTGATTTCTCCTTTATTCCAAATAAAGATGGTCTAAATTTAATCCTTCATTTGGAGGAAATGACAGATAGTTCACATGAGAAAAGGACCCCAGATAAGGAAGGAAGCAAAGAGTTACGGATGAGTCAAAGTCATGTTTAAACTGACCAGGAGTTTATAAATCAGTTTTTCCTGGAATGAATACAGCTGCTGGTTCTTGAGAACCACATCAGAACCTCATTAAGCAGAATGATGCATCTTTGTGTCGTAATCCAATGTGATTTATCACTTCTGCTTGGTGTTGCAGCTGAAGTGTCTCCAGCTGTGAAGGAGCTAAATATGGCTGCCATCAGGGGGCAGCAGCGTTGAGAGTAACTGAAGAAAAACAAGTGAAAAAGATGTAAAGATTTATGCTGTCTGAGCGTCCACCCTCATCCCTCCGTAGAGGACTATAGGGGTTCCAACATGTCCCTATGGCTGGTGGATAAAACATTTCCCACAATGCACCTTAAAAAGTAGTGGTCACCCTAGACATAATATACCAATAGACCCCGCATCGACCGCTTTCACATATGGGCGCCCTCATGATTTGGTGGCGCCATCTTGGGGTGGTCAACAGTTCTGCTCTGTAATGTGTTGAGCAGGCAAAAAAAAATCTATCTTATCTGAAAGCAAACAAATGGTTCAGTGCAATATATATATATATATATATATATATATATATATATATATGTATACACTACCGTTTAAAAGTTTGGGGTCACATTGAAATGTCCTTATTTTTGAAGGAAAAGCGCTGTACTTTTCAATGAAGATAACTTTAAACTGGTCTGAACTTTAAAGACATACACTCTATTAGGGGTGTAAATCACATCCATCATTGCGATACGATTCAGTATCTATACTCAAGAATACACAACGATTCGATTCGATTAATCTGTTTGTTTTTTTATTATTATTATTATTAGATTTTTTTTTTACACCTTACGGGCTAAACAAAGTTTTAAGTTTGAAATAAATCAATGAAAGCTGTAATATTGCTTTGTGTTTTTTTTTAGAAACAACAGCAAATAACAGAAGTAGAAAAGTTGTATCATCCCAAGTTGTAGCTGACCGCAAACAGACAGGAGGCCGGCTTGTTTTGTTTTTATAACCGAAATTGCGGAAAACAACTCGTGAAGTTTGACCCGCTAGAAGAGCAAGGTGCGCGAGAACCCTGAGACCCTTTTTCCACCTGGATCTCCGCTCTTTTTGGCCCTCATGTCCCTCCATCGTCTGACTAAACTCGTCCCCACTTCCTCACCGCCTCGGCCGTATCTAGACCCACAGCGTGTAGCTCAGACCACGCTTCAATATAGAGCATAATTTAAAAATGTCTGTCAAGCTCACTGCGACACACTGCTGTAAGAGTATAACCAGGAAGCGAGGTAGGAGGGCAAAATAGGTTTAGCGCCACCGCAGCACGGGAGGAGAATTACGCCCATGAGCAAATGGATAAAAATAGACCGGAGGAAAAAAAAAACATGAATCGATTCTCTTTCGGACGTGTCGATGCATTGGATCCTCAGCTGTTGGATCGATGCATCGATACAAAACGATTATTATTTACACCCCTACACTCTATAAATTGCTAATGTGGTAAATGACTATTCTAGCTGCAAATGTCTGGTTTTTGGTGCAATATCTACATAGGTGTATAGAGGCCCATTTCCAGCAACTATCACTCCAGTGGTCTAATGGTACAATGTGTTTGCTCATTGGCTCAGAAGGCTAATTGATGATTAGAAAACCCTTGTGCAATCATGTTCACACATCTGAAAACAGTTTAGCTCGTTACAGAAGCTACAAAACTGACCTTCCTTTGAGCAGATTGAGTTTCTGGAGCATCACATTTGTGGGGTCAATTAAATGTTAAAAATGGCCAGAAAAAGAACTTTCATCTGAAACTTGAAAGTCTACTGTTGTTCTTAGAAATGAAGGCTATTCCATGCGAGAAATTGCTAAGAAATTGAAGATTTCCTACGGTTTGTACTACTCCCTTCAGAGGACAGCACAAACAGGCTCTAACCAGAGTAGAAAAAGAAGTGGGAGGCCGCGTTGCACAACTGAGCAAGAAGATAAGTACATTAGAGTCTCTAGTTTGAGAAACAGACGCCTCACAGGTCCCCAACTGGCATCTTCATTAAACATTATTTGATTTTCTGATGTTATTTTATTTTTTGTTTAATTGCTCCGTTTCTTTTAGTTTTATTTATTTCGATTTTATATTGATCCCATCTTAAACCTCTGGACAAAAAAGTTGAAAACCTATTTTAAGCAGTGAGGGGACCTGAACTCGTCACGACCTGTGCGATCATCTGGAATCGATTGTCTGCTATGAGTCCATGAATGTAGAAGTAAAACTGAAAGCAAACATGGAGTTTCTTCTTCATCTCCATCTGATACTGAAAAAGCTGCGAGCCTCACAAACAGGGCAGCTTTTGACTCAGCTGTAGAAGAAGGAGCCTTAAAGGAAGGAAATAGTAGTCACATCCTGCAGTGAAAATGTCACTGTGATGTTTTTGACGCTTAACGGGGCAGAAGGTCACTCTGAAAACAACTGAAGAGTGTGGTGTTGGATAGCTGTCTGGTTCTGGATGGAGAAACTGATTCAATTTCTTCTGGAATGGCTTTCAGATTGAACTCCTGCAGGTCTCTGAGATTTTAAAGCTTTTGCTGGAGCAGGAAGGGGACCTGTGAGGAGAAACTGCAGTCTTGGACTGTAAAGTAATAGCTTT